CCACCCCCTCTTCGCCGCAGCCTCCGCCGCAGCTTCGTCCGTGTGGTGTGGTGTGGCTCAACTCGACCCCGTTTCCCGCTTCGCCCTAATCTTCGTAGTAATAATTCTCCTCTACGGATACAATATACGGAGTCTACTCCATCGCATTTGTCTTCCTCCTATCGAGCCGCGTTCCTATACCGACAGCATGACTCTCCACAGAGACATTCTTTGTCCAAACCGCGCCAGTAGCTCCCAGAATAGTCCACCGTGACCTCGTGACCCGCCTCAATGCCCTTGCTCACCAGGATGATGCGCTGCGTGCTCATCCACACAAACTGCTGGAATTGCGCGTTGGACTTGCAGCTGTGGTTGACGAACCTCGTGAAGTTGCCCTGCCGTCCCTGCCATATCTGATAGGCCCGAACACCCGTCGAGCTGTCCATGACGTCCATATTCTGCAAGTCTTTTGTGATGAGGCCGACAAACTCTCCTATCGCCGCGCCGCGCTCGAACGGACAAAGGGCCATCAGGCCGTTGTTGCGTCCGTCCGAGGTCCGGAATACCTGCACCGGGCAGGGGCTCCGACGCCCGGACCCGAATAGCGTCGGGAAGCAGTAACACGAGTTGATCTTGGGGTCTTCGGACTGCTCCTGGCCGCACGAGTGGCATGTGTGCATGCCCTGGACGCAAGCCACGGCGTTCATCGGCGGCACCCATCGCGGATCATCGGTGCCCCACGCGCTCATGTCCATGACGGAGTGTTCGAGCTGTTCGAAGCTGAAGTAAGGGTCGTATTCGAGATATGTCGACCGGAGCGGAACCGGGTCCGAACCGTCCTGGCGGACAACCCAGTCATGCGGGTGACCGCAGAACCGACGCTGTGCGCCCTCGCCGACAATCATGAGTAGTTGTCGCCACGTGGGGTGAAGAGTGTCGGCGGCGACCTCAATTCGGGGCCGCAGACACCGGAGTCGTTGCATGCTATCCGGATTAAATCCAACTCGATACTTGCAGAAGCGGTAAAGTCCCATGCCGGCGAAGACGAGCGCGGCCCAACCTCCCGCGTCCTTGATTTCCTTGTAGCCGCGCCAGATGGCCATCTTATTCCGCAACTCCTTCTCAGACCATCCAAAGTCGTTACACGCCTCAATGAGTGCCGCCTTGCGGCGTTTGGTAGGGGACATGCCCGGGTTCGTAATGGCAAGCAGCTCGACATACGAGTCGAAATGCTCGATCCACCGCGCTTGGACAATGACCTCGATCGAGCGGCACGCGCGGCTGGCTTGCGTAACCTTTCGGCAAAAGATGTTGCTGCGGTTGAAGGTTCCCTCCATGTCGATCTCAGTCAGCGTGCCGTCTGCCGAGGGCGCCTGGAGCAAGCCGAGCTCCAGTTGCTCGGGGACGTGAATCTTGCCAGCATTGTTGATGGTTGCTGTTGCTGCCGTTGCCGTGAGCTGCCACTGTTCAAGCAGACTCTGGGGATCTAAGCTGATACCGCCGTGGATCTGCTCCCAAACGCTGACGACGAATTTGTCAATGGACGACTGCTGCGGGATGAAGACGACGTCTGTCTGAATCTTTGCGCGTTTAGGAAAGTTGTTGGCAACCTGCATATGCCTCTGGCTGTCCGGTTGCTCTTCCTCCACCGGGGCGGCTCCCCTGACTGGTCGTAGAGATCCCGTTCCTCTTCTTTGAATAAAAGCATTTGCATCGTTCTCGTGTGACATTTGTGGCGGTCCTTGGGATGGCGTCCGTTGTGTCCGGACAAAAGCCCGGCTGGCGCTTGCCGCGACATCGTCCATCATCAACTGCGGGCTGATGGTGGGCGGTGTCGGGTGTTCGATGGTGTTTTCTCTTCCCGCATGGCTCGTATTCGGGCTGTTATTTGCGCTCTGTGAAATGATGCCAGACAAGTCTACCATTTTCTGTATCGTTGGTGATGGTGGTTAGCAGAAAAACCTCTCGTACCCAACCTGCAACCCAACAACCTATGCCACAACACGGAGGAGCAAGTGAAATAGACCCGGCAGTAAATCAGTTGATGCTGAGTCATCCGCTCTTTATCTGTCTTGATTGGGTATCTCCGGGATTGTCTGCGCTGTAGAACTGGAGTCCACGGGCAGCACGAAAGCTGAACACTTGCACACATTCCGGCGCCAACGCGCGGTCCAGCCCGCGATGATGAACATGGAGATGCAACTTACCGAAACCACGGGGGAGCGGGGTGTTTGCCCCTGCGTTCCCGGCTCGCCGTCCTGAATGAAAGCTTCAAATCGAAGCACCGGGTTCGCCAAGTTTCCAGACGAATAATCCCGCAGAGTTTCCGCAAGCTGGTCTAGAATCACCCGGCTAAGACCTTCTCGCAGGGTGTCCATCTGCTGCTCCGGGGACGTCATGATCCAGTTGCGTTGGCGGTAATGATCGGTCGGCGGGAGAAACACCTTGACGGCGAAGGGATCTTGTTCGCGCTGGAAATCAACTAGTCGACGCTTCAACACCATATCCGGGTGGGTTGACGGCGATAAATCGAAAGAATCGACAACCGTTTGCCGAGGGTTAAAGGATCAAGAAAAATAAAAAGGAACCAAAAAACGTGTCAAAAGAGACAGCCTAAAGAAGGACGGTTCGAAGCTTGTCTCTATCGTTGTCAAACGGTTGATTACTGGGTATCATAGCTGGCCTGCGGGCGGGTAACGGCACCAGGCATCAACTTTCAACCGAAGAGTGTGGGAGCCCAGCACAGTTTTAACGGCGGAGAAGAGAACGAGGACGCAGTGAGACTGATCACTGCGAGATATTCAGGGTCCACCTTCCTGCTCGTCTTTGCTCTGGAGGTGGGGTCAGTTGTGCCAAAGCAAGGTAAGCCGAGCCTGTCTTAGTCTGTCCTTCTCCTCCTGGGTGTGTATACAAGTATCTATGGCTGAGGAGGAGAGAGAGGTGTGGGTGTTGTACCGTGGCCCGGTGGGTGTGTTGCGAGTGAGCATCAGTCGAGAGAGACGAGGAGCACGTAGCCAGAGTCTAGCCCATCAAACGCCAGCCTAACCTGGTCGAGCAAGGATCGTCGATGGGCAGACAGAACCGAATTGCTGCATGGGCAGAAATTCCGAGGCGGAAGGGGGGTGGAACTGGGCAGAACGATCCGCCTCGGCATCATACACTTTCGTCGCTTGTTTTATTTGTTAGCGGCGCCGTCACAGCCACAGTTGCAAACGGCTCGACAAAAAGGTTTTCTCCTCACGTGTTTTTGGCTGCTGCTACTGCTGCTGCACTGCTACGGAAGCATGCCCGAGGAAACGGGCTGGCTCGGCCTAGTCTCCCTTTCGTCGAGCTGGAGCAACCTTTCGCAACTTGACACTTTTACAACTCAACACTACTGCAAGTCAGAGTCGTGACAGTGACGCTTGAACCCGAGTTAACCCCTTGTATGACCCGATAGACCTGACATGACTGACTTGACTGACTGGTGTACTCCGTACTAGTGGCCCCCGACACGCACATTCATACCTCCTAGCTACTACTCACACTCAGAGGACGCACACAGGGACATGCCACACACACACACTCCAGCACATACACAACACGAACAGGGGCTCAACCTTTGGAACACAAAAAAGAAAAAGCGTCATACAAATAGAGTTTACGTGGCGTCGGCTAGCCGACGTCATCCCCGTCCCAGTAAGGTTGCCTGGAAACAGTCAGTCTGAGCCCAGCCACAATTCTCGCTGTTAGGGCTGCTATTCAACCGTCCGTCTCTACTCGTGGAATGTCGACCGGGGACCGGCTTCTTGGCCTCAGCTTCTTCTTTTTTTTTCTTTTTGCACCAGCGCCAGCAACCCCCGAGAGAAGCCTGCCGGTGGGCTTCCCAAATTGCCGTCAAATGCGCCCTTCGGGGGCAGCCTCAAACCTTATTGTTATCAGACACTAGATGCCAAATTCCCCCGAACATTTCATCCTTTTCCCTTATGCCCTTTTTCGGGCAGCTGTGGTTTCACATGTCTCTTTTAGGTCGCCATGAATCTCAGGCTCGGTCGAACAGGAACACCCTTGATTATCGCCAGCCTGCCACCCCCTTCCACTTCCTTACGGGTCCCAATGTGCTATCTTTCACGTCCATTCCTGTCGTATAATCACCCGCTGGTATGCTGGCTTGCCGCTTGGGACTTGCAGCGTATAAGTGAGAAGTGATGATCAGCGTCCTTGTCTGGCCTATCACTGTTCCATCCCAATCGGACCGCTCCGTGATGTGTCTTTATTAAGGTTCAGCCATTGCACGGCGACCTGGTAAGCGGAGGTATTGCCAGACAAGAACTAGCCAAAATTGCCCACTTGCCGGGTAATCATTCGAGAGGCTTGCACGGGTAGCTATTTTCTCCTTGGGTTGCACAAAGCTAAGTGGACCAGAAGCTTTCAGGGATAGCGAAAGCGAATTACCGTGAGATCGAACATCCGGCGAACTTTCTTTGCGCTTCTTGTTGATTTGACAGCTCCTGCGCTTATTATGGCTCACGGCGCTTGCCCTCCCTCTCCCTGTTTCCCTTGAGAGGGCACAGTTGCGAGCCGACTCTGTGCAGAGCAGAAGAAACGGATCACCCAGAGGTCAATGTTTTCTCGTCGCTGTTTCTTTTGGTCAGACTTTTTCCCTACACACCCTCCCCCCCGTCACCCCTTGTGAGTTGCGAGATCTCGTGTGCTTGGACGAGCTTGCCATCGGGTGTCCCGAATGCAGTCTGTCTGTTACGCTCTTCAAAAGTTTAGTTGTCGGCAATTCATCCTTAGTAGCCAGGCGCACAGGGCTGACCAACGGTGTGGCAGAAGCTACCATTCTGCTGGTTCAGTTTGACAGTTCATGCATTGTCAAAGATTCGACAACATCGAGCATATTTGCATTTAGCCTATTGCGGCAAACAATGTTCCCAATGCCGGGTCTTTTTCTGCTATGGTGGTTCGGCTTCTCCCGAGAACCAATCGATTTGGGCCGGTGAGTCTTCTATTTCGCTGCTAGCTCAGCTTATTTGTTGCTAAAGACGAGTGCCTAGTCCCCCTCCTACACCACCATCTCCAGAAGTGTAATGCTTCGTAAAGTCATAGCCCAGTGCTTGTGCGCCCTGCCAGGAGAACCTTTTTGTGAGCCAAACTGCGAAACCGAAAAGAAATAACGATCAAAACGTCAGAGTGGCCTGTCATCCAAACTCACCTTGCTCAGTTCCTTCAGCTTTTCTTGATCCGATTCAGCGTCTTTGCAAAGCTTGAGGAACGGGTCGGAAGCCAGCACCTCGTCGGGGTGGACGCTGAACATGCGTCGCAAATTGTCGCTGGATATCGGGTCAATAATGTCTTGATACTTCTGTCGCCGCACTTGGTCGTAGACTTCCAGAATGCTCCGGCTCGCTTTATTGCGATGTATCCCGGACAAACACTCGTAGAGACCTTCGACGTCGACGATGCCGCCGGTGAGGCCGAGACCCCCACTACCATGACGATCGTCAGCACAACCTGCGCGCTACGGGCCACGGAAATTACCGAGCGAAAAGAGCAAAGATGCCTACAAGGGGTTGCAGAGGTGCGCTGCATCTGCAGCGAGCAAAATCCGGCCGGCAATCATTCTCTTGGCTAGCCGTTGATGGACCTTGTATGGGCTGATACTGACGAGCTTGTACTCGTCCGGTTTAGGGTGTCCAGGTAGTATACTTCTAAACCTCTCCGGCTGCCTGCCGAGAATCTCTTCGGACGTCGAGCCCGTAGCTTCGCCATACGTTACACGCCATAGGCCATCTTTGGTGATTTTGGCCGCCATGAACCAGTCCTTTGAGTCTAGAATGAAGTTGGAGTCTGAGTACCCAAAGCGACTAAAGTCGTAGTAGACCTGTGAGATCATCAGTTCGTCGACCTGACACTGGAGCACCCGGACTTCTCGATAGAGAGGACCACATCGACAGCGGGCCGAAAGAAGGTATAACCTACGTTCGTGGCCACAATCTGCTCATCCCATGTCTTGCCAGGAAATTCGTTCCCAAACAGCGATCGCCGGACAATACTGTTAGCCCCGTCGCACCCAATAACAAAGTCCCCAAAAAGCTGTGACTTGTCCCCTGTGTCCCCGTTCTCCACGTCGACCCAGGCACGGGAATCGTCCTGACCGATTGCTGTCACCCGATGATGAAACAGGTACGTGACTGATGGTAGATGCTTCGAGTGATCGTAGATCAACCGCGCCAGGTCGCACAAGGGCAGTGCAACCATGCGATCTGGATCATCACCGTCAATCTCGTTGCTGATGCCGGCGATGCGCGTCCCGTCTGGCTTGCGCCATGCGACTCCATCGGGAAGAAACCCGTATTTCCGCAGGTCGCTCCCCAGGCCGGCGCGATTCAGGACCTTCATCGCCGGTGGAGCGTAGTGTGTGGCTCTGGGCTTATCATCGAGCTCCAATGTCTGCTCGACGATCGTAACGGGAATGGCGTCCCGACCCAGAAGCAGCCCTAGCAGCTGCCCAGCAGGGCCGGCCCCAACAATGATAACCTAAACGGTATGCTCAGTCAAAGTTTGATAGTGGACAGGCCAGCGTGTTTACATTTTTCAGCCCTGGGGACATGGCTAGCTAGTCAGAAAGAGGAGGTGTGCCTGTCAAAGAAGGTTCGGTCACCCAATTGCGATGGGGATATTGCGAAAAGACGAGGCTCGGGAGGGTTCACGCGAAGATAATTATCTGGTAAATTTGATGTACGGTGTATCCGTACGTGTAATGATGTGTGGCTCTGGTCCAATGTAAGATACAGTAAGGGCGTGTGCATCTGCAATTCTACGGAGTACACTCAGGGTCTGTTTTGAAGTAAAAGAACCTTTGCAGTTATGAATGCGGTGGAAGTTACACTCGATGATGCGTTGCTCACTCACTCTACGTCTCATGTGAATACCGCATGATCCCCGTTCCCCCGCGCGCCCATCACCGGCGCGGGCACCGGAACTCCTCCACATCCAGGATGAACGCTCGCCGGACGTGGCCTCCACAAACACCCGTGGACCCCACCATCCATCACTCAGCGATGTAACAATGTTGTGTGTGTCCCCCACATGGGGTACTATCTAATTAGATTGCCTTAGTTTTCTCTTCATCAGGCACCTAGGTGGCCCACTGATTGTTGGCCTGACTATTTTCGGCATGGCTGTATTTCAAAAATCGAACGGTTTGCGGAGTCTCTTTGTCAAAAAGCAGCGAGTTAAACCCCGCAACCGTCGTCCCGTCGGAAAGAGGACCCATGTGAGGCAGGTGGTAGCATTTTGAGAGGCCGACACGAACAGGCATACGGACATGGTCCACGAACGCACGTATCGCAGGGCAGGCCACAAGCACATTTTAGTCTAGTTTGGCATCAGAGCGATCCAAGATGCTGTCAAGTCTGGTCGGGCGAGTCATATGTCTCCGATTCTGGGCAGTACCAATAATAGCGGGAATCTGGGAAATCAATTCTGGAAAGACTTGCCAAACTTTGGAAATATTGAAACTACCAGACTACTACTGAGCTACTACTCGTACGTGTATGCGTACTTGCTGTGACGCGCTTTGTGACCGCTATCAATTTAGTTTAGTAAGCTGATCCGGCCGGCCGCAAGGGCAAAGAACACCTTATCCAAGATCTCTGAAGGAACCGAATGCAGAAATTCCGCCTGTTCCGATCGTCTCCGGAGCTTGACGCCGACGCTATCAAGTTCTTGAAACATCCCGTAGGGTCCGAACGCTGCATAGCTACCCAACTGCCACGGCTCCTGGGCGTGAAGGAATTCGATCACTGACTTGCGCATCTGATTTCCAGTCTGTTGTGCACCAGGAGCAAATGAAAGATCAAATCCACCAAAGAGAAAAAGCAAATCCACCGCGTGATGAGCTCCATTTGAGGGTTGCCAGGGATTGCACTCATCAACGAGATATCGATAGGCGGGTTTGTTCGCTGCCCTAAATAGGCGAGCAATGTTCTCCGCTGGGAGAAGAAATTTGTAGTCATTCATGAAGTCCAACGTCCCTATCTTGGAAGCGGAGGCTCTGTCAGAGTGAATGTTGTAGAGTTTTTGGAGCGTGTCCTGGTGTTCGCCGGCATAGCTGAAAGCCTGAGCAATCTCTGAAGCTTCCATTTTCCATATGCCCTCTCGCCAGAGAACGGCCTATTTGTGAAGGTTAATTGGAAGGAGGACAACCATTTCAAGCCCATGGGTACAACACATACCTCGTCTCGAACATCACCTATCATCACGCTCTCCGCAGCCCCTATTGCTGTCTCCCACCCAACAAGAGTAGGATCCACTTGAAGGAACCATGAATGTATTCCAGCTAGTTCTATGGCCTTCACCAATTTCTCAACAGGGGCTGTGCTCAAGTCAAAGTCACCCAGTGTACCAAGATGATTCACGAGGGTTTGGCGTAAAGCAGAAGCCTTTGTCCTTGGCTGAGGAGGAGAAAGGTACAGCGAGCCAGAAGAGAGTATGACTCTTCTCACCCTGAAGCCGGCCGCTATGTGGGCGTGGCAGTATACCGCTCCAGCACTTTCTCCAGCCAGTGAGACATCATTCTACGGAAGCCTGTCAGTGGTCTCCCGTCTTTGGCAGATGGGAATGTGACTTATTACCGGGTCACCTCCAAAATCCGGAATGTGATCAGTGACCCATTTGAGAGCCAATGATTGATCTTTCAGAGCGAGGCTACTCGAGCTACTTTCGTTTCCGAACGCGAAGATGTTGAGTCTGTACTGGACTGTCACGACGATGACGGGTTTACTCAGGTTCACGGAATCTTCCACTATTCTTCTCGTGTCTAAAGTTTGCAGCTGTCAGTGCCTAGTATGCTAGCGCTAGTACGATACATTTCACGAAGGATCTTTTGGGTGCGGATAAGGGGACATAGCGGAAAGCAGGGCGCAGTTCGTACCGCACACGCCAGAGGCCGCGCTTCCAAAAGTAACCGCCTGTGAGCCGCCTGAGATGTCCGTGTTAGTCAAAACATCAGCCCCTGATTTTGACAAGCATACCGTGTATCCAGACCAAAACAGGTAATCTTTGGGCCGTCAGCAGTTCTCGTGATTTGGGCACCGTAACGTCCAAGTTGAGGCATCGAAACTCATCTTCGGCCTCAACGGGTAGCCTGTGCTCAGGAGGTATACGCAACAGATGCCCTACATCAACTTTGACTTGTGGACACCGAGGGCTGTGAACACGAGAACTAGTCAGCCTTTCCTTCACCGAAACCTATGCGTGATGTTCAGACCGAACGTCAGAAAGAACGTACCCAAACTCAGTACAGTTGATGTCTTGCGGCAGTGCCACTATTGGCTCGGGTTTGGCAAATCGCGAAACAATCTTGCCATATGGGATGCCTCTAAACTGTGCGATCGTCCCTAAATCAACGCCACATAGAGTTGAACCCAGAGATTTGCTTTCAAGAGTATAGGCCATCGTTATTCCAATGGCATAGGAAAGAACAAACAGAGTTACGCTTATTATGACAGGATTTCTAACTGTAATCCGAGCTCCAGGTCATCTCTGTGGGACAAGATACACCGGACGAAAGACCAAGTGTCAAGTGGAGGACACTGGATGAGTAATGATGGTTTCCCCGCGGTCAGGAGCTCTATCTTCGCAAGTCGACCCCGCATCAGGTGACTATTTCCGCGGCAAAAACACACACATACACACACATAAACACACACACCCCTTCAGATTCGCCGTTGAAGTGCAGTTAAACTATCACTCAATTACCAAGAAATCTCGTGATTATTCGCGTGAAGATACCGATCAGGAATCCCGAAGGCCGTTGAAAGCACACAGACATATTGAAAGTGTGCCACACGTGAAATTCTTGAAGCAACGAGTGTTTGGCGTTTTGATCACAGATTCAGGGAGTAGAGGCCGTTAGGAAGACGACCAGTAAACGTGCCGATGATACGGGAGATTCTTCTGAGAATTGATAAATACCACCCGATGCCTTTGACAAGCATCCCCTCGCCTGCAGCTCCCCAGTTGGTCCGTGGACCATCTATTGATGGAACAGGAATGCCTCCCAACCCTTCAGTAGTGTGTCCAGCCCAATCTTTTCACCCAACTCGAGCAGCAAATCATACCGTGCCGTGCTGGCCCCGGCCTCCTTGTACGCTCTCGTCCCATCTTGGTACACCACCCGCCCGCCGGCATCTTGAAACCGCTTCCATGGAGCTTGACCATGAACAAAGTCAACTATGTCGGTGACAAATGATTCGGCGGACTTTCGCTGCTCCTCTCCGAGATGTTCCTTATAGTTTTGGAAGAGGAATGCCACGTCGAGGACATGGGTGCTGTAGCCCCTAAATGGCCCTTCCCACGGATTTGGCTCGGCAAACTCCAACAAATAGGAGTCGCCGTGAAAGCTGTTGGCAAATGACTCTGCCGTTGCCCGAAATCCAATATCAGAGGCGAATTGCAGAACTCGGATGAAAGCCTCATCGTCGTTTGTGGTGTCATTAATGTCGTATGCCTGCAGAATCTGCGCAGCAATGCCGGCATGGTGTGACAGAGCTGTGTTGATGATTTGCGTGAACGAGGCTGCGATGTTCTCCTTTCGCTGGAAAAGACCCATAAACCCAAATATGCTCGCCTGTGTGGTTGGTTTAGTTACATTAAGCCGAGAATGTGACCGAAATGTTGATGGCACTCACATCCAACGGGGCGTACCCGACCATGATAGCTTTACAAGATGTTGTCTTGGGAATTAGCTTCCCAGCTGACGCCGTCTCGAACGTCGGCACGAACGGGACTGTTTCTTCATCGAGAACCGGCAGGAAAGGAAGGCTCCTGCCAATCTTCGAGGATAGCTCTTCGGGGGACGCCCTTGACAGGATCTTGATACGTTCACTCGAACTCACATCTCCAGCTCCCAAAGCTTTTAGAACGCCTTTGTACGCCTGCTCAGCCACTCCGAGCTCCAGGGGGGCGAGGGACGGCGGCGAGCCTCCCAAGATAATGAGTTGAGAGGCAAGAGCTTTTTCAGAGTATAATAGACGGCCCGCCGAGACTAGAAAAAAGTAAGAGATGCGGTCTCGGTTTCGAGACCGAAAGGCCGAAGGACCGACGGATGAGACTTACTGCCACCAGCGCTTTCACCTACAACAGTCACACGCTGAGGATTTCCCCCGAATCCCGACACGTATTTTCCCACCCACTCCAAAGCCATCCTCTGATCATGATGACCTTGATTGCTCTTGAAGCCCTCTTTGCGAAGCTCCTCTGATGTCAGAAATCCAGGAATCCCGAGGCGGTAACTATCAGATGTTAGTTGCGTAAGCTAGATCGGTTTATTTTGGGGAAGATCTGTTATACTTGATGTTGATAGCGATGATGGGCTTCCCAAACTTGTTTGAATGTTGGACTATGCGCTTGGTATCGTACTGAGGCCACCAGTTGGATCCCGTTCCGAACCCTCCGCCGTGAATGAATACCAGAACTGGCACCTGCTTTAGGTCACCAATCTCCAGGGGCGCTGTGAGGTTCAGATTGAGACACTCGGTCCCCGAGAGACCGGGGAACTCGGGTATTGGGAGCGACTTTTGAATGATCATGTGTTCATTCTTCACTCCGTCTGGGTCGGATACGGCTTGCGGACTGATGAACACGGTTAACTTAGTGATTTGGCATTACAAAAAAAACATGAGGATAACACACCCGTGGCGTGTAGCGTTGAGTCCGCTTCCATCGTACTGGACAAGCTTCGCATTGTCGAACCAGTGCTGCAGAGTAGCATACTTGAGGCCGAGAAACTGGATTACGCCGTCGGATGCTTGGCCCTTCACTTTCCCAATAACTGGGTGATCGAAATCTTGGGCAATTGAGACCATGTTGATTATTCAGTGCTCTTGGAAGTTCAGAATAGCAAGTCAAGAGGTCGATACAGATAGAGAAGATGCTTGTTTGATCGATGAGTTCAACGTGGCTAAGGTAATGTACGCGCAGGAGTCAATTTGGTCGGAGACTTCGATAAAGGCTTCAGAAACAGACATCCTCAACCTGACAGCTTGAATTCGATCCTGGCTTATCGACTTAACTTCAAGTTGGTGAACGATATCGATTTCACATCCTGAAGGTGAGCGACCGGATCACCCGGAGCGAATCCCGCGATGTATCTTGTCTTGCTGTTGAAGCTCTTGATAGCTACCCCACGTTACCCCGCATGGGATTTCGAGCAGCTTGATAGCTCCCCCACATGCAGCTGCTGTGAGAATCGTGTCAGCAACGCGTCAAGCCATCCATCGCGCCTTGAGCATTGGCTGCCTCTGCTACACGGAAAGTCATACTGGACTAATGTAGGGACCAGGCTTGTCGGTTCATGTTGAGCGTCATCGAAGCCTTGGAGCCGGTCGAAGTGGTATCTTGAAGACTGTAGCATAGCACTCACCTGATGCCGCTGATATTGACTCTGGCGCTAGTCTCATCAGTCAGTCTTGTCCAACAATGCTCTACCTGCGCTTTGATACGCTTTGCAAGACTTACCGGTAATAATGAAACTATGTCTTATCTGATGATGACGTTGGACTAGTTGCGAGGTTGATTGGCTCGGACGGGAGAGTGCTCGTAGCAGGGAAGCTCTGCGGAGATATCATGCCCGCACAAGGTTTTTCATTGGTTTCTTGATGAGTGATCACACGCCTGCGGGACGGTATAGGTTTGATATACCTCCCCGCGTATAGTAAGTACAATGCAGATCGTGCCTTCTATGCACTAGTTCTGTGGTTGACATGCAGGCCCAGCAGCCTCCATCTCTCGCTCGTATGCCCGTGCCAATCGCTCTAGAACATCGCCCATCCTAACTGTGATACCCCATACCCATACCTAGGGACACATCGTCAGTTATCAAGTGCTAAAGAAGGCAATCACTGGAATCAGTAACTCACGTCTTGAAGGAATAGACTGCAAGTTTTAGCTAAGCCTGCAGCGAGGGATGCGCTCTCATCTGTGTCATAGTCCGATTCCTCGAGTACGTCCTTGATCTTCATGAGCAGGTCTAGTTCAGCTGCACTGGGATCAATGCCCATTCTCCTGTCTAGTTCGATTCCGTGAGCCCACTTCGTTGTGAATAGTACTGTTCGATGTCAGTTGAGCATGTTGTTTAGTCTTTCACCTGCGGAGTACCACATACCATTGTCCCAAGCCGCAACCGCATGCTCGACGCTCCATCGGAAAGCAGCTGTCTTACGTATGAGCATGTGGCCCATCTTCACTGGTAGCTGGATACCCTCCAGCGTCTTCTCGATGGTCTTCACGCAGTCGATATCCCTCTCTAGCTTCGTGTTCGCGAACGTGGTGACGTTGCTGTCAATGGTGCTTGGGTCTTCAGCAAGCAGACAGAGACGATCAAAACTCTTAGTGTTATCAAATAGCCGGATGTAGGCGGCTCTGAGGATCGCATGTGAGCTGAAACACAGCGACGTGATGTCGTTGTCGTCCATATCCTCAAGCTGACCTTCTCGAGTTTGCTTCAGTAGCCCGTGACACCTGTCTAGAGAGATCAAGGCATTTGAGAGAAGAGAGCTACCTAGAGAGGGATTCCCAGTTGTTGAACGAAAAGAGAAAACCGCTGAGGTTTCCGAAAGCTGGGAGAGTTGCCAGGTGTGTATGAGGATAGCATGTACCAGGATGAGCGCAGAAAATGGTGAGATATTGTATGATTCAAAACTGGAATCATCGGTGTTCTCGGCCAAGACATCTTCCAGAATATCCTTGGTGGTTCTTGAGTTCTTCTTTCTGTAAGCGGCTCGCAGTTCTCGCCACTCATTGGCTGATAACGCATTCCAGAGGTTCTCATCATGGAAGTGCTCAATTTCTAGATCTTGACTGGCATTGAAGGCGGGGCTGAGGCCGTAGATGATGGTGTTGACCGTGTTTGTCACATAAATGGCACCGAGAAGTCTCTTCCAGGATTCGCGTTGCACCCAGTCTGCCCACGTTGAACTTAGGAGGTCCGCGTTGTCTTGTTGCAGCTGACGCCGCATCTTTGCGTACAACTATAAAGATGTAAGTATTGAATCTGAACTCTCTGTTACACAAGTATTATAGTAACACTGAAATATGGGCTGGAACCTACTAAAGTGTAATGGCTACACTCCCCTATAGACTGGGCCGCCAAGTCTTTGTCGCCACTGAATGTCGCGAAGAACGTCAAGAGAAACTTTGTTTGCATAACCCAGAGTGGACAATCCCTCGTGAGGATCTACAGGAGACACCATCATTAGCTCTCAAGTTCGCCTTGAATATAAGATCAGAGAAGGAGCAACTCACTGGCTCAATCAGCCTTAGCGCAAGATCCCAAAGACGCCGGGCTCGACGGCGATCTAAGCGATAGAGAGCCCCAATACTGCACATAGCCAGTATAAGGGGGCTAGGTATGTCACCATGTGAAATAGTCTGGAGATGAATCAGGGGCAAGTGGCAATGAAAGCACTCCACGTAACTGGAGAGAAAGCTCTGACAAGCCTTCAACGGAGGGATGTCCTTGGATATGTCGGGTCCAGTGAGTCTCTTATTCACGTCTCTGCAAATTGAGTCATGCATGGGCTTGTCCATGGTAAGACTTGGCTTCGTACATCGCTTATTCTCAAGCAGACGTGGAAGACTGCGCCCAGTAACGGCTTGGGACATAGACTGCAAGGTTTCTGACTGAATTTCCTTATCTGCGTGACGGAGACTCCTCTCAAAAGAGCATGACTTCTCTAGAGGGCTGGTAGTCGAATCATTCGAAGCTTCAAGGCCAGCGCCTGTGTTCGATAACTCCATCCAATCTGGAGCGTCGAGGAAACCAAAGTCATGTGCGAAGTCGAACGGCTCCTCAGATATGGGCAATACCGACTGTGAAATTGGATCTGCAAGAAAAGAGTCCAAGGAGCCGAGAGCTGAGCCATTTTCTGGCAGTGAAGGGTGACCGTTTGGCACATGACCCCTATTTGCGGTTCCTTCAGTGAGTTGGGCCCGTAGGTGATCAAAGACTGCGCCTTGTGTCATGGGCAGATCTTGAGGTTGACTATTGCTAAAGATCGTTTCGGGATGAGTGTCGAAAAACATGTCCAAGGCGTCTGCAGAATCTGAGATGGAGATATTGTGCGTTGGTGGAGGAGTGAGAGCCGCTTGCCCGCGCTGCCGAAATTGGTGAATCTCCCTCGAGATGTTCTTAGGTTGCGTTGAGACCACAATGCTATTGGAAACTAGAGTGGACGAGCAAGAGTCTCTTCTAGGGCCATCTCCCAGCGAGGGTTGGCTCAGAGGGGTACGATAGGCACGCTGCCGTTTAGGGTCATGCTCCCTTTCACTCGAAGTTGCCTCCGACGACGCATCATCATCGTCAGATGGATCATCGACGACTTTGCTGTTGTGTTCCGCATGTAGTGTCTTTTCATGTCGCGTGACGAGGTCTCTGCCTTCCGATTAATCTCTGATTATCGCTCAGACAGTGCCAGGCTATTTTGAGGGAGCCTCACTTTCTTGAGTATGTTTTCAAACAGTACTGGCAGGCATAAGGCTTCTCGTTTGTGTGACTTCGCTCGTGACGGATGCAATGCTCACTGCGTTTGAAGACCTTTGGACAATGGGCACACTTGTAAGGGCGAGCGGTCCTGCGAGCACGCTTTTCCCCTGCCTTTGGCGTCTCTGTCGACGCGACTAGTTGTCCGGGCCCATGGACGGGTAAGGATGTGGTGGAGGACATGAGGTACCAAGAAGCTGAGTTTGGTGACGGATGAGATAACTAAAGTATGATGTTTGTCGATAAGGTGTATGACGGGTATCTCGAGAATAAAGTAAGACGAGCAGTAAGTTCAACGGCGTTGTTGGGGAGAACATGGGGAAACACGACTCAGTTTGTTGGAGTATCGTCCTCAGGAACCAACCAGACCGCATCGTCATCGAGGATCGACACGATAGCGCCAAGACGGACATGGGGAACGCCCGCGGGCCGCCGCAGTTAGCTGATCAGTAAGTTATTATCAACTCTTCGCTACCACGGCGGTTGCGGGGAAAAGTGTGGGGTTCATCGCATTTGTGTCCACCGGCATTGAGAATATTGGATCTGAGATGGCTTTGTACAAATATGCTCGTTGCTATTGGCCTTTATGCTCCGTTTGACCCTTGCGGATGTGTGGCTCTTGTATGTTACAGCTCGGACGAAACGCAACCAATGACTCGAAAGACGGAACACGCGCGGATCACCCTCCGTTATTCCCCGTCACGCTCTTCGACTAAGGTAACTATGCTACAACCATTCCCTTCGTGTCAACCTTGACGCTTCCCAGGTAGAATCCTTCTCTTTCTGCTTGAAACCACTCAGATTTGAGAACTTCAGCTCTTCTGTCATTGCGTGGCGTGAATCGGACTTTGAAGGGTTTGGGAAGTGTATTGATGCCCGGTTCATAAGCTTCATCGGATAGATCTACCGGCAGTTCCTTGCCATTCGGGTCCAATGCCGGCTCAATCTTGAAGGCCCACAAGATCTTGGCCAATGTGATGAACAGGCTGTTCTCGGCCAGATGCATGCCAGGGCAGATGCGTCTCCCTCCACCAAAATCAAAATGGTCACGGGCTTTAGCATCTCCCTGAGCGGCGTAAAAACCAGCCTTTTCAGGATACGCCAAGTAACGTGACGGGTTGAATTCTTCAGGGTCGGTCCATTTATCGGAGCTGAAATGTAAAACATATTGCGGAATGGCAACGACGGTGTCCTTGGGGATGTAATAGTCCTTATAGACAACGTCCGATGTCGTGTAATGCGGGCTTCCTATCGTGGTGACTGGCCGGATGCGAAGGACTTCTTTCCCGGTTGCTCTGATGTAGGGCAGGCTGGCTTCATCTGCAAAAGTTGGCGACCTCTCATCGCCAATCACTCGCGATAACTCTTCGTTGGCAATATCCTGCACTCTGGGATTTGCCGTTAGGTAAAGAATGCAGCTATTCAATGCCGAAGAAGTGGTCTCAGAACCGGCCTCAATCATGGCTTTAGTCAAAGTCAGTACTCCGCATATAATTACTAGTAGAGCTGGAGATAATACTTACAGCCTGCAACAAAACCGGCCTGAACGTCGGTAATGCCGAGTTTCTCAAAGTCTGACTCCATGAACTGCTTCACGAAGCACTCAGGGGCTTTCTTCTCGGCCACCGAAGACTTCAAGCCATTCCAGTAATGCATCCAGATTTTCCTCTGCCTTTCGTAAGCCCGAACAGCAGCCGGACGCCACCACTGGAGAAACGATGGAAGATTGGCAAGAGGAGGAAACATGTCGGCGATGTAAGCGCCAGGCTCTGCAACTTCGGTGAAATCTTTCAGAAGGTCGTAAATCTGACGCACATCTTCGCAGTCCTGTTTTTAGACTAAGAGTTAGCTTTCCTCCTCTTCGAAGAGTTGATACAAAAATAACTACATACCCACTTAGGAACACGAAGTCCGTATGTACTGGTAAGCACAACAGATGTGGTATATCGGCGGACATGCATGTAGAAACTTTCTTGATCTGTGTTATCGGTCGCGATGTCGTAGAGTAGTTGCTTGGCCTCAAACTCTTGTGATGGCTTGTATGTGTCCGAAGCTTTTGGCGTCAAGAGCTTGTGCACAATCGTTCGCAGTTGTCGCCATTTGGACCCGTAAGTCAAAAGTAAGAGCCTGTTGCTCCCGGACAGAAGGTCGGAGAGTACCGGCATCGGTGACCTTCCAGAGGTCTTTGCCGATTGTTTGTCAAATATCTCGCGGACGGCATCGGGGCTATTGACGAAAACCCAGTTTTCCCAGCCGAGGCGTACTTTGACAATCTCGCCATAATCTTGAGCCCACCGCTGGACTTGTCGATGTGGTGCTGAACCTAGCTGTGGCGCATTGCCTAGTAAAGGCCATCCCTTGGGTCCTGGAATGGTCTTATACCCCTTCGGAGTGGCAGTTGTTCTGCTCTTGATGTAAAAGTGAGCTACAACTATGGTAATAGAAAGAAAACTTAATAACTTGAGTAACGACATTGCGTATAATCACGTTGTGATAGCAATTAAAGTCTGCCCTGCCTGATCGAACTCAATATGGAATTGTGCAGACAACATTCTAATAGGCACCTTTCATAACAAGTGGTGTTTCTTCGTCCGGAACACACTATGCACACCTAATCGTTGTGCCCGCATTGGAGCACGAGCCCACTTCGGCGACTTTGTCAGTCATGACAGAGACACCACATCCCCGCACACTAAGAGACATGTCTGGAGTGGAATCCCACACAGGTCGTCTCAGCACGACAATGAAGCTCTCCGAGCCTCCACACGCTCCATGGTACAAACTGCCGCAATGGCCGTGTGGAGTAGCTGCCCAAGCTCAGATAGCTCCATGTGGGGTGAAGCTTTCCGCAATGGACAGGGGAGCATTTCGTACAAAAGCGATAGATAGCTCCATTGAGCCGTCGTCATCGTCAGCCCCTCATCCAGCAACCCCTCCTCGCAATATCAGAGCTAGCTTTACTTCACAATGGCAGCGCCAAAAGATCTCAAGCCGAAGGACTTCCAAAACGCCTTCCACTGGGCGGCGACGCAGCAAGATGGAGCAGTCCCCTCCTTTGCGACGCGCCCGAACGATCCGTACGCTTATCAGCCCGGATTCAACAACAGCTTCGAGTCAGAGGCTATCGCCGGCACGATTCCAAGGGGCCAGAATAGCCCGAGAAGCATCAGATATGGATTGTACGCCGAACAGGTGACGGCTTCAGCCTTTGTCGCGCCCAGGCATTCCAACAAGAAAGCTTGGCTCTACCGGTCGCGACCAGCTGTTGCTCACCAGGGATTCGTAAGTCCTTTAGCCCATCAATCGATCTTGGAATTTGTCGCTGATTTCTCTCTTGTAGACCGATCTTCCCGATAACAAGGACACTGAGTCGACTTTTATCCCGATCAACCCCCGAGTTCACGTCTCACCCACTCAATTGGCTTGGAAGCCGTTCCCGATCCCTGACGGCCAAGATCTGGACTTTGTCGATGGTCTCAAGACTGTCGCCGGCTCTGGAGATCCAACTCTTCGGGAGGGCCTCGCCACTCATGTCTACCTCTGCAATAAGAGCATGACGAAAAGAGCTTTTGCGAACTCCGACGGCGACTGGCTCATTGTGCCTCAGCAAGGTGCTCTGGACATTCAAACCGAGTTCGGTTTCTTGTACGTGCAGCCTGGTGAGATTTGCGTCATCCAGCGTGGTCTTCGCTTCAAGGTAAACGTTGAAGGACCGACTCGTGGATACATCCTGGAGATCTGGGGCTCAAACTGGGAGCTTCCCGAATTGGGTCCTTTGGGAGCGAACGGGTTGGCCAACGCGCGCGACTTCTTGCACCCGGTTGCCGCATACGAGGTCACGAAAGACGATCCCTGGGATATTGTTTACAAGATCGGCGGAAAGTTTTTCAACAGCACACAACGGCACTGCCCCTTCGATGTGGTTGCGTGGCATGGAAACTACGTGCCGTTCAAGTATGATCTCACCAAGTTTGTCAACGTGGGCTCCATCTCCGTGGACCACATTGATCCGTCAATCTTCTGTGTCTTGACAGCCAAGTCCCGAGATCCAGCTGCGCCCCTGGCCGACTTCTTGATCTTCTCTCCTAGATGGGACGTTGCATCTCACACCTATCGCCCGCCCTACTACCACAGAAACTGCGCTTCTGAGCTGATGGGTCTGATCTACGGCGAATACGGAGGTCGGTCCGATGAGTTCCAGCCCGGCAGTATCTCATTCGAGTGTGGATTCGTGCCTCATGGCGTCGCATACGAGCAATTCGCTGCTGCATCCAAGGCGGATCCCCCTCAAATGCAGATTTCGCTCGGCTCCATTGCCTTCATGTTTGAGACGAGCCGAGCTCTCACCATCACCGACTATGCCTGGAACAGCAAGGAAAAGCACGAGCACGACCCCAAAATGTGGGACAACTTGGTCGACAACTTCTCCCAATTTGAGATTGATCCTAAACTTTTGAGGTCCAACAAGGCAAACCACCTGAGTTGAGAGCTTGTAGCGGAGGGGAGACTTTGAACGAGTTATGTGTAACATGTTCCAGCGGCTTCGTATCGCAGGGAAAGCTACGTGGTATAGAGTAAAGGAAGGCAACGAAAGACTCCATGAGTATTTTAAATGAATTAACTGAAGGGAAACTTGTGAGCAAACTGCTTATTGCAACCACCAGAGAAGATTGGATGTAGGGAGGCTGATCTGGCCTTCGCGGTGGATGTTATACCTACCTTACCTTACCCACCACACTTTGCACAACGTCTTTAACCCCTCCTCTGAGGTGACCAGGAAGAAGCTGAACCTGTAGCCTTAGACAATAGGATTGTAGAACCTCATTCGGTTCTGAGGATCCCATTTTGCCTTCAGCCCTCTCAACTTCTCCAGCCTCCATTCGTCCCATCCATAGATAGCCTCGAGCGACTCAATTCCATGTGCATAATTCACATATGCTGTCAAGCGGTCAGGCTCATGACTTGCCGCCAATAGATGCCCTCTTAGCTTCTCTCCATATTCTTGAGCAAGCGCATCAAGAGACGCGTTCGGCTTGTACATGATGTACGACGTAACTAGAATATCGTCATCTCGATGCGGGAAAGCTGAGCTCTTCTCATCGACGGCTTTCACGCCATGAGTCGAATATCCTTCAAGGAGGAAGAAGGACCCGGCGAACTCCGGGTTGCGGTTCGACATGTCGGCGATGTCATCAAATACTTTCCGGACGGCAGGCAAATCATAGGTCTTCAGACCGATAGGGTATCGCAAACCCGTGTAGCCTTTGGCGCATCCGACACTATCACTGCTCATGAAGGTCAAGCCAGCCAAGTCTGGCATAGGTGCCACTCCAGCTTCGACGTTTATGTGATCAATGTCATAGAGAGGCTTCGCATACTCTGCAGACTTTTCGAAGGTGTCGTCCGATATGATAGCGTACCAGATTATGGGCTATCTTCATTTAGCGGTCGCGATCCTATTCGGCAATGAGCATCTTACGGGAGTTTATGCTTACTCGCTTGGGGTCGATGTCAGGGATGTTTACAAAATACATCCAATGCGTAACTTCCGGTGGCTGAGTCTTCATCATATCGTTGGTCAGATCGAGAATCTCCTCAAGTTTGTCCCCGAGATAGATAAATATCTGATAAGACCACTCGATGTTCTTGACATCGTGGACTCGGTACTGCCATTCAGTGACGATGCCAAAGTTGTGGCCGGCTCCCCTCAAAGCCCAAAAGAGATCAGGATTCTCATCGTTGGACGCTGTGACGAGCTTTCCATCGGGAAGAACAACTTTGGCCGAGATGACTTGGTCTGAAGCCAGGCCATACTGGCCCTGAAGCCACCCGTGACCGCCTCCCAGAACTGGGGCAGAAATGCCAACGCACTCGCAGATTCCTGTCACTTTTCGTTGTCAGCATACCCTCGAGTCGAAAGTGTTTCTGCGATAGCGCACCTGTTTGCTTGCCTGCCGCCCACAGAGTATTGACAACCTCCTTAACGCTTGCTCCGCCTCCAATTGTGGCAGTCTTGCCATCTTCAGAGATGACAACTTCGTCCATGCCGCGAAGGTCGATGGACACCACATTCTTCGCCAGACTCAGCGACTCTGTTGCACCGTGACCGCCTGATCTAGCAAGGAATGGAACCCCCTGCTTGTTTGCATGACGGATCTGTAGAAAACGGTCAGGTGTGCAAAAGGCTGCCTTTCGCAGAACGTACCGTGACTTGAATGTCGTTATCTGTGTGGACATTGACAACAACTCCAACGTCCGGTGCGTGCCAGTCTCGCCACCTACTTATATAGTTGTTGAACAGGGGTTCGTTCGGAAATATAAGCGAGGCATTTGGTGACAACTGTGTAGATAACTGTGTCCACGAGTTGATATCCTGGGGTACCAAGGATGCCAAACCCAAAGGCCCAAGGATGCTTTGCAACGAATTCGTTTGGTTCAAAGCCCAAGAAAGACCGAGAGCAAACACTTCCATTTTTCACTTGGATTTCAGATCGTACATTACTCTGATAAGGTGCGTAAAAGAAATATCGAGAAAAGCACTGTGATAGATTTGAGGGAATCTCATTGCTGACGTCACGTGCTGTGTTTTCTTTGGAGGGGATGGGTTGTGTGCTAAACTAGCATTGCTGACGTGAGATTGACAACAATTTGGGCCGAAGTCTCACGACGCCGAAGAGCACAGCAAAGTTTTGCTAGAAATACATGTATAGTGTGACTGTAAGCGACCTGCTGCTGGTCGTATGGCCGCCGGGCTGCTATACGGACACCTCACAGATAGGGCTGGCCATGCTATGCGGCCCAATGGCGGACCGGATGCAGCTGGCGATAAATCAATGGACCAGCGCGGTCGAACACTGATCCAGCCTCAGTATCATGCACGGGGTCCGGGAGGCGGCCCTGCAAGATGGGTCTTTGGGGCCTAGGTGGAATGGAAGTCATGCGCGAGCGAGACAGCTGCTCTAGGTGAAGGCGACAATGCCCATTCGCAGGGTACAATGACGAGACTCCGTATAGATGACCGTTGAGTTTTTAGCGCTGGAATACAGAAATCACTCGATATTGTCGACACAGAAAAGCTGGGGTTGAGGTCATTTGTGCACGTGACAGGAGAATACGGTCTCTGACCTTTGCAGCACCATGGTCGATGGTGCCCTCAGAAAAACGGATGACGGAGTAATTAAGTGATTGTTGCACTTGCAGCAGTGAGATAAGGCAGGCACAGCCCCACAGAGCATTGGTACGCATGAGCACGGGAAGCAGGGAAGAGCTCATACGGTATGGGAGGCTCATAGTATCAGTCAAGTAGGGAATTCATACGAATCCATATCGCCATGAGTAAGGCCTGTGTATCAAAGGTCATTCTAATTAAAGTTCATCTTGCTCTATCAAAGAAAGAGACGGATCATATACTGCCATTCTATCCGTGACTAAAATCAGCGAAACACCTTCTACCAAACCGCCGATGCTTAAATAGAGGCCGTTCACCCTTATCAAGTGGTTATATTGAAAGGTAATAAGTTGATAATTCCGCTCCCCGATTTCTCGAAAAATCATGGTTATCTCGAACTGACCTCGAAACTCATCTACCAAAATATCCAAAGACTAGGATGAATATCACTAGGCTGCGAAGTATGGCTAAAGGTAGGTTCTGAATCAGTATCAGTCAACAGGAAGTGGTTAACGAATCTTTCACAATTCTGAACAAAACAAAAGTAATAATGCAGCTAATCAATTGGGACAAGAATGGTGATTGGTACAGACTCTCAGCGATAGCAAATGAGGCACTGAAAAGAATACATTAACGTGGCCATCTCTTGTAATCGGAACACCACCATTATCTCAGTCCATCACCGCAGGGTCAAAGTGATAATAGGACATGCGCACAATCAACCCATAACCAACTTAAATCATCTAGTAATCAGTGCACAAAATCTTTCTTAGACTTTCTGCTCAGGTTGGGGGATGCTCATTCCCGCTGTGGCCTCGTAGCCCTTGCTTGCGATAGCAGTCTGCGCCTCACGAAACTCTGCCTCCTTTTCTTGTTGAATCAGATCGCAGCATCCACAGCAGCAAGCAGTAGCAAGATCGACGAGACAGCTGCCCTGGAGATTATACTTCTCACGAAGGTTGGCGCGCTGGAGGGCGAGCGGGATCCAATGGAGGCCAAAGCAAGTGGAACCCCAGAACATGAGACACTATGAAGCAAGTCAGCTTAGTACAAATGTAGAATTGCATCGCTGCATTGACGTACAGAAGTATTGATAGGCTCATAGCCCGTGAGACTGCCGTTCTTGCGAAGACGGTGATGGGTTTTACCAAAGGTCACGCAAGGAACACAGCAAGTGATAGCGCAAAGGTCGATAGGGTTGAAGCAGCCGAAAAAGCCGTTTTGCCAAGGTCGAGAGGTCTCGGGAGACTTCGAGTTGACGTGCTCACTAGGGCGAGCGAGAACGTCATTGAAACGGTCCTTCCATTCGTTGAGGTCGTTGTGGTCGATAGGACCGTTGTTGTGGGTGTTAGCATGAGCTGGGGTGGCCATTGTGGAGTTATGTGATAAGAGATTCAACGTGAAGGAGTGTAGAAAGAAAGGTCATGAGGTGGTGAATGGAAGACAGTGGAAGGAGTGTAAGTAGCCAAGACGAATTAGACAAGTCATTCTGGGATTGTCTTGTTCTTATAACCTCCATGTGCCGTGCTGGTGGTTCAACGGCTGATCGCCATTTGAGACAACCAGAAGTGACCTGACATCCCTGATTTTAGTGTCGTGAAGGGGATGTGATGAAACCCCTGATAATCACAGAGTCCGGGACCAGATTGCCGCTTTCAAATGAGGTTCGAAAGCCTTGTGGCGCTGCGGCGGCAAGCTTGAAGCTTTTGATTTGGCAGCTGTATCAAAAGGCTAAAGCGCCACCAATTTGCCGTTGTATCGCAGGATCGGATGGTGGAAGCCTCCGCGAGCCTACGCACTGTCTAGTACTAGCGGCAAGCCTCTGGTGCTCACGATAGCGGAAAGTTTGCGCGTTTACGAGATGATCGTCGCCCTCTCAAGTTATCCTGCAAAACAATTCTCGAATCCTAGAAGTATGATTTCACGCAACATAGATATCATATTTTTGTGTTGGTCTCACTCCTGACAAAGATTCAAAATGCGCCTCGAAACCATTCTCGATGCTCTGTAGCAAACACGAGAGTCATCTCTAATCGGATTTTAGTATGGTTCAGCTGAGTGGCTGGGAGGCACATTGTACACGCGCGTGTGGCATCCAATGACAGGCCTCAATGATTCTACTTATCACATGATCTTGCCTGGTCACACCGGTGAAAGAGAATCAGGCTGCGTCGCAAGGGATGTATGCATTCGTCATTTCCCGATACAAAACATCACGCGCGTTTGAGCCTGAGGACGGCTTCGAGCGCTTGGCCTATGATCATGGCGACTGCGCTACGCAAGGCTTCGCGATTGAAGCCGGATATACGACTGGCGCAAGCAGTCTCGGAGTTTGAAGCTTCCCTCAACTCTACACAGAAGGCATCTTTCCGAAATGAGCGTTCTACGGCATGCAAGAACCCGCCAACCGCGGCTGATGTGATGCAACTCACGGCCAAAATCGACCATGAGGCTCGTCAGAAGAGGCTTTCATCCCGATGCTTTGGACCTCGCCTGACCAACTTGCTTCAGGCAGTTCAACAATTTGCTGCCTTGGGCGATGTTGTGGCAGGCGGATCTCAGAATCTCGTTGCGTGCGGGGTCTGGGCAGCAGTCAGGATGACACTACATGCGAGTAGCTTCGGAACAAAGCATTGCAATTGATGCTAACAGGCTGTTCAAGATTTGCATCGGCTTTTCAACGTACCTTGAGAAGCTTTCCCTGCTTTTCATGGCGGCTGGTCGAGAGGCCCCTCGGCACCAGGCAATGGCTTTAATTTACCCGAAGTCCAAAGCCTTACAAACTTACCTTTGCGAGTACTTCATCGTTGTTACTCACATCTGCCAACGGGTGCAGTCGTTTACGCAAAAGTCGATGATGGGTCAACTAGCCGCGTCCCTTAACGACTCAGACCTAAAGGGGTTCCAGTCAGACCTCGAACTATGGTCAAATTCAATAAAACAAGAGGCGAACCTGCAGCTCAATGAGCACTTCAAGGCTGAAGCTCATTTGAGTGCGGAAACACGAGGGATGACAGCTCTATGGACCAAGTCTACGACGCGACGATTTGATGTCGCAAAGAAGCTGAAATGGCTAGACTCTTGCTCTACTTACGACTTCGAGACAACCTGGAAGCAAACGCAAAAGTTGGGATCGACTTCGTTGCTTTCCAGCTCGAACGACTATCAACAATGGAAAAAGCTTACCACTTCATCATCCATACTTTTCAGTGGTAAAATTGGCGCTGGAAAGTCAGTCACAATGGCTAACGTTGTGAGTGACTTGAACTATAACAAAGAAGCCGTTGTCCTCTACTTCTTTTGCCGATACGATATTCCAGAAAGCTTAAAACATCAGACTATTCTCGGTAGTTTGGCTAGGCAATACCTCAACTACTTTCCCATCCGCAGCGAAGTCTTCACAGACGATATGCATACATCGAAGTTAGGCGTTGAAGAGTTTATTGGGTTTCTAGGACTCAGTTTGATAGGAAATGCGCAGAAGTACATTGTCGTGGATGGTTTAGATGATTGTGGAGGAACGTCGAATGGTTCTGCAACAGCTCACGAACACCCAGCAGCTATCATCGAGATGGCACTTGGGCATCTCAACTCAGCCGTCGGCTGACGACTTTGTCAAAATCCATTTGAAACCGAATTGGAATGTCTCGCTCCCGTCCGAAAATCCAGACATTGAGTTTTTTATCGATGTGGAGCTGGAAGCTCGCCTTGACAATGGGGACTTGGCTATCGGAGATCCTGCTTTGATCGCGGACATCAAGAAAGCTCTATTGAAAGGAGCAAACGGAATGTAAGCATGACTTTTCCAAGAGAAACTTCAAACTTGGCCCGTTTACTGAGAATAATAACAGGTTTCTTTGGGTTGCTCTTCAACTTGATGCTATCTGCTCAGAGGCCTCTGACTACGACATAAAGGAAGCGATCAAATCACTCCCCCGCGATCTCACAGCAACTTACACGCGAATTCTGGAAAGGTCGACGGCTAGAGACCATGAGAGATACCATAAGCGAATCTTCAAATTTCTCGCCGCAGCATATGAGCCGTTGACGTCAGCTCAGATAGGCGAGATGGCAAGCGTAACCGTAGGAGACGAGGCATATGATCCCTCCAGGAGGATCAACAATATCGACAAAGTTCTTGGTTTCTGTGGTAGCTTAATCGTGGTGGATGAAGAGGAGAAGACGGTACGATTCGTACACCACAGTGCCAAAAGCTTCTGTCAACCTTCTATCGACAGAACATCACTGTGGCAATTCACGAATGAGGAAGCCCACAACGAGCTTGGCGGGACAATCTTGACGTATTTGAACTTCGCCATCTTCGAAACGCAGCTTTCCACAAACGTTGTTCCGATCTTTGATGCCGGCAAGATCTCAACTGGCATTCTTCGTCAAACATTTCACAATTCATGGAGTCCAATACGCCTAGCAGAGAACTTTGTTAGGGCGAAGCCAGCTCCAAGCCGCCAGATTGGTCATGTTATTGCACAAAATATCAGGCAACCCAATACAATAGCGAGCGATCACCCTTTTCTCCCGTATGCAAAGGAATTTTGGTTGCTGCATACGCGATTTACGATCATGCCATCCACTCGGCATTTGTGGCATATTTTGGTCAACAAATTTGATCTACCGAGTCTTCCGACTTTACCCTTCGTGGCAACAGCCTGGGCTTATATAAGTGTGCCTCCAGAGCTGACAAATTATACTGGGTTGTTTTGGTCTATTCAAAACTCTCACGTTCCGATGTTCAATCATGTGATGAAAATCGGTCACAATAACCGCTCTCTTCGGCTCCAGTCGCTTCGCCTTATCTCATTCCTTGAGGTTTTCAGAGCACTTTCGACGATTCCCATAATCGAGAGGTTCCATGCTACGTCTACCAGTCTTGGGATCGAATCGCACATGGCCGCGCGTCTGCTGTCTATGTCAGAGTGCTTCAAGACTCACAAGGTTTCTGAATGGTTAGCATCGCAGATCGAAATGTCTACTTGCGACTACGATAATTCAGCAGGCAGCTGGACTCTAAACCCACACCCAATCACTAAAGTCGACTTCTTTTCCCAATTCAAGATAAAATCGCGAGTAGCTGAGTTGGACGCGGTAGATACACAAGTAATTGCTGTGAAAGGCTTCACCTTCGGGCTACACGCCGATACCCCTCGAATATACAAGCTCCGACCGCAACAACTCGAAAGCCAGCCTTGCCGGTCTCTAACAGTACGAGATGGCCATACTCTACTAGCTATGCTCCAAAGCAACCAAACACAAGAAATGCTGTTGAGGAACATTTATTCCTTCATTTACAAGGGCCACAGCATGAAGGGTCTCGGTATTTTACCAGCATACTCCGTTCTCAAGATGCTTGCGGAGTCGCAGGAACTCAATCGAACACTTGCATACCAAATGATGTGGAGAATGATTCATATGCCATCACTTGGCTCAGAAGTTCGCATCGAGGTATTTCGTCGTGCCTGCCTAATGGGAAATCTCAGCTTGGCTACTTGGCCGCCAATTCTCGACATCCATAAGGACCTAGACAAAACGGCCATGTTGGCGCTCAATCCCAGCAAAGCAGCACCCAGAAACGACGAGATAAGCATGGTGTTGCAAACCATATCCAAACAAAGATTTGAGCTAGCTTCCCGGCTTCTAGCTATGGGTGCGTCGCCAAATGGCTGTGACGCCTCTGGATGCCCAGTGCTTCACCGGGCAGTACTCTTGAGAAATTGGACGCTCGCGTCATCACTAGTCAAACATGGGGCTTCGACACAGGAGCTGGATAAATTTTGCTTTCAAAAAGAGTTATTCCACTTCTGCATCATGCATTCTGATCTAGACGGCGTCAAGTTCTTGGCTCGATCGGGCTGTGTTGCAACCTTGAATGCGCTCTCCAAGGGGCCCGAATTCACCCTGCTCACCCCGATGGATGTTGCAACTCTCGAGGAATCTGACTGGTGTCGCACATATTCAATCAGGGACTTGATCGTCGAAGGTGCTCAATTTGAACTTGTGGCCACGAGCCGTCCCTTACGTCGTATTGAAGAAAGACTGGAAGAGCTTATCATCAATCACGGACGAGAAACCGGGCCATACGTTGCGGAGTACATGCAAACCCTTGAAGGGGAACTTGACACTGCTTCTTCAGCATTCCGAGTCAGCAGCAAAGTCATATGCCTCGTGGCAATCGCCACTCGGAAGTTTGTCTTATCATACCTTTTCGACCTACCCAAGAATTTCAGTATTTGGCCACCCGCTCTGGAACAGTTCCATAGAGACATGGACCCCGTTTTAGGATACATGGACAATTCTTTGTTGCTAATGGACCGTTTGCTTAAAAAGCCCCTAGGCCTGGACTCCAAGGTGACAGACCTGGTCCTGGCTCTGCGGGAAATGACGGGGGCTCTGTCGCGTCTCAAAACAGCCGACTTCGATGACTTGCAAGAGTCCCCTGACCTTCAAAGACAAATCGACTTGCTTCTTCCTGTATGGAAGATACAGATGAGAGTCTTACAAATCGTGAATTTGTTGCTGAGAAACATCATCGCGATGCCTTCTGAACACAGATCGAGGCAAACCGACATAACGCCCGGCATCAATATTCTGTGTAACGACCTCTTGCACACATCAATAGCCGGTAAGCCAACTGCCTTGTCCCAAGACAAAAGCCTTACGGGATCGATGTTCGCGCAACAATTTGAACATTTCCAAAACGTCTTGGAGGAGGTTTTCTACGAGATGGACCTACCGTTTTTCCTGCAATGTTCTCTTATCCTCGGGGCCAAGTTCCCGCCAAAAACTTTGGTATACTTTGCTTCTAGCCTCGATGTCACTTATATGACTGAATCTTGGGATTTGAGCGGTCCGAGTCCTCCTCAGAACTCCGTCGCCATACGAAAAGAGCTCCGATCTATGGGTTGTAATGATAAAACTTTGGATGCGCTTGAGAAGGTGGTGCATGATATGCTCTTTGTCGTGATGGCCTTAACTATCCGTGGTCTCACCGCATATTACGTAACCTCGGTTACATAATTACCGAGGTCTATACTCACTTATACTCTCTATTTTAAAATAAGTCTCGTACTTATTTCTTATTTTTAATAAATAACCGTTCTCTATATTTAATATTAATATCCCTATTATAATTATATAATAATTATAAACCTAGCTCTAATTTAAACCCCTAAACCTCTATTAAAAAGTTATTTTTAAGGATTATAATTTATTATATCTTTTTATATACGATTTTACTCCTTTTATACTTAAAAACCTATTTTTAAATAATAATATTTTTAAAAACTTTTAATATAATTAAATATAAGCTTAATTATTAATAAAACTAATTAAAATAATACTTTATTTTATAAATTAAGACCTACTTAAAAGATATTTAGGACTTATTAAATCTAAATAATACTAAATCCCCTTTAAATTTTATATTTTTATTAAATTAATTTTATTTATTAAAGAATATATTAAGATACGAAATATTATTTAAAAATAAACTTATTAAATAACTATAACTAAATATAACTAATAACTTAATTCTTATATTTAATAAAAGTATTAAAAGACGAGGTTAAGAACGAATTAATAAAATAAAACGGCCTTATAAAATAATTAACTTTTTATAAAGCCTAAGTTAATTATAATTAATTAAATACGCTTTTTTAAAGAATATACTTCTTTTATTTAATAAACGGCCTTTAAAACGATTTTTAATTATAAAAAGAAATTATATAAATTTATAAATTATTAAATTATTAATTCCGTTACTTAAGAGATTTTAAAAATATAAAAAAGAACTAATTAATTTATCTAATTACTCTTTTATATAATAATCTAAGTTTTTAAATAAAAATATACTTTAAGTAATTTAAACTCGCTTATAATTACTTAAAAAATTTAATATAATTATAAATAAAGCGAACTTTAACGTTAATCTTATTATTTAAATTAAAAACTTTTATTTTATTTATTATTAAATAGTATAACTTTAATTATTTAAAGTCTAGAGGACTTTTATTTTTAAGACTTTTTTATATAACTACTTAGTATTTTATTCTAAATTAATTTAATTAAGAACTTATTAATATTATAAAAATAGAAAAAGGCAAAGTAGTACTTAATATAGGCTATTATACTAAGATATTTAATAACCTTTTATATAAAAAGTAATATATAATAAAAATCGTAAATAAAATTTTATAATTTTTATAATATTAATAAGTTATTTAAATTTCCTTAAATAAAATAAAATAAGACCTAACTCGTTTATAAAATACTTATATAACGGGTCTTATTATTAAAAATTAATTAAGTATATAAAAATAGAGTTTATCCTTATTAAAAAAACGAAATAAGAATATATTTAATTAGATATACTTAAAGTTAGTAAAATAATTACTTATTTAAATATAAATAAATATATTAATTTTATACTAACTTTATTTAAAAAATTAAATCTAAATAAGGCCCTTAATAAATTTAATAATAATATTTAAAAAGAAATAAAAACTAAATAAACCTAATAAATTAATAAAAATAGGATTTTAAGAGGTCTTATTTTTAAACATTATAACTATAATTATTAACATCGCTTTATTTCTAAAATTAAACCTAATAATTAATAAAATACTAATCTTATTATTTTCTTAATTCCCTTTTAAACTTATATTTATTTTCGAAATATATAATTATAAATAATTATAATACTATTTATTTAATTAATAATTAATTATTTTTAATAAGGATTAATCTAATAATATAATAAGACTAAGAATATAAATTTTAAAATAACGTTTTATTTTATACTCATTCGGAAATAAAAATTATTTAAAATATTTTTATAAAAATAAGAGGACTAGGAATTAAAAATTTAATTTTTTAAAATATTAAGTTCATTAAGAACTTTTATATTAATATCGTATTAAAAACCCTATTTTAAAAAAGTATATATATATTTTAATTTTAATTATACTTTTACTTTAATAACTAATTTAAAAACGTTATAATTAAGTAGCTCGTTAAAAAATTAACTTAATCTTTTTAAAATATAAGCCTTATTTATTCTATTTTTACTTAAAACTTTTTATTAATAAATATAACTTTTACTTATAATTAATAAGTATTTCGTTCTTTATTCGTTCTTTATATTAAATAAAAATAACTAAGTAAACTTTATATAGCTCTAATACTTTTAATTTAAATATTTTATACTAATAATATTAAAAAGCTTATATTAGCTATTTAGGAATAAAAATTAAAAACTAAGCTATTTAAAATATTAATATTATATAACTATTTATATAAAAAGGTTATTTTTAAACAAACTTTAAAATAAAAAGTAATAAAACTATATTTTAAGATTTTATAAGACCTTTTTATTATTTATTTATTTTTAAATAAAGTAAGTAATTAATATTAATTAGGACGAGTACTTAAATAAAATCTTTATTTTTTAAGAATTTTAAAGATTTATAATATAATATTTAAAATTTTATATTTTTTAAATAATAAGTACGTACTTAAAAAAGTTTAGTTATTTATAAAATTAAATAAAACGTAGAACGTATAGTAATTATAATTAATAACAAAACTCGTTTCTAAAATAAATAAAAAAACTAAGGATTAAATTAAAAATAACCCCTTTATATATAAAAAGTTAAATAAAAGAGGGAGCGAGCTAGCTAAGAAATTATTAATAAAGCAATTAATATAATATTTATTATTAACTTATTATACGAACTATAAATAAAAGCTATATTAATAGTGGCTATTTATATAATATTAACTTAAGATAATATACTAATTAGCTTTTATTAATTTAAATTAAAGAAGTTTAATTTAGTTATTACTTTAAGTAGTAATAATTAATAAATATATTAAGGCTTATTTATGATTTATATCCTTATTAAGGATAAACGTATATATATAATTACTAAATATACTTTTTAAAAAGATTATAAAAAGAATTAATAAAAGACGTTTTAAATAAAATAAAATAAGGTATAGTATTTTATAAGTTATATAATAAATATTTATAATTTATATAAAATCTAAATTCCTCGTTTTTAAAAGTTATTATTATATAAAATATAATATTTAATAAGATCGTATTTTATTTAAAGAACGATATAAAAGCTATAATTTAATTACTTAAATTAGAAATCGTAATAAATAAAATCTAATAATTATTTATAATTATTAACCTTAAGCTATAATTATTTAGAATTATAAATAAAGAAAAAGCCTTATTAATAATTAATTAAAAATATTTATTATTATTTATACTTATTTTATAAAAAAATTAAGTTATAAAAGCTTAGTTTATTTTAAGTAAATAAAATAGGTAATTATTTATCCCCGAGCCTATTTTAAACTTCTAAAATTTAGAATTAAATATAGCCTTTACGTAATTAATTAAAGTTATAAACGAGGTTATAAAAAGCCAATTCTTTATTAAAAAAATTAAGGATAATATATATATAAATAAAAATATTACTTTTATAAACTTTTATAAAATTTTTATTTATTTAAACCTTAATAATCTTATTTAATTAACGAGCTTATATTAAAAATAAGAGAAGTAAATAATTTAAATAGAGATTTTAAAATAACTAATTTTAATAATTATAAAAATAATAAGTATAAATAAAGCTAGAAGTTAAGAAATTAATTAATTATTAAAAGTAATTATTTAAAACCTAAATTATAAAGAACGATTTAAATAATATTCTCTCTTCTTTTTATATAAAATAAAACTAAGATATCTTTTTAATATATATATATTTAATTAATAAAAAGTAATTAATAAAACGACTTAGGAGTATTAAACGCTTTATTATTATATTTATACCATAATTAACGGAACGAAATACGTTTTATTAACTATATTTTTAATAATAAAATATATATAAATAACTTTATTTCTTTTTTAAAATATAAAAACGTCTTTAAAATACTTAAGCCCTTAAAACTTACTTTATTAAAGCTACTTATATAAAAATTAAAAATTAAAAAGATAAATACTTAAAAGTTATTAACGATATTAGTTTAAAAAAACTAATCCTATTTAAATAAATATTTAATTATAAATTTAATAAAAATAATTACCTCGATCGCTATAAAATAAGGATATATATTAGGGCAACTTTTAAAAATAATACTTATTTAAAAATATATATAGCTACCCTCGCTATTAAGATTTTTAAAATTATTATAATTATTACTACTTAATTCGATTTAAAAATTTATTAATATAATATTATAAATACGTTTTTAAATATAATAAAAAACTAAGTAACCCTTTAATTATATACGAGCTTTTAAATAGCTTTAAATAACTAAATAAATATATTAAACTTAAATAAGCTTTTTATAATACTTATAATATTCTTTTATTTTAATATAAAGAGCTCTTAATAACTTTTAAATTACTTAGACTCTTATTTATAAATAAGGATTTATATTTATTTTAAATTTAAAATAAAAAGGTCCTAGTTCTTTTTATATAAACGATATCTTTATACTATTTTATAAAAACTATATTTAAAAAGCTAGTTAAATAACTAAAGGACTTAAAAAAATATAAGTTAAAGAATTAAAAACTAATTTCGTAATATTTAAATATTAAAGTTATTTAAGATTAATTAAATTAAAGGATTTATTTTATTTATAATTAATATATTAAAAGGTTATTAAAAGTTTAATTTTATTAATTTTAATACGCTTATAACGCCGCTACTAACCGTACTAATTAAAAACCTAAAAGTAATATTATTAACTAAAATTAAGTTATTTTAAAAAAATAGGTTAATTTTATATATAATAATTATAATATGACCTAATGTTATTTTCGTATATACTCTATTATTTTAGTTCTTAATAAACCTATTTTATTAGTACTATTTTATTATAAACTAAGTTATATAATACTTATATTATACTTACTATTTTATAATTTATTTTAATACCTCGGTGGATAAATAAATATTACTTCGTTTATAAATAATAAAGAAATCCGATATTTATTTTAAAGATATATAATTTCCTTTTTAATAAACTCATTTAATAAAAAGCTATAAAATAGAATATAATAAGAACTTTAATAATTAAGGCCGAATTACTTAGTTTAAAATATATTATTAAAAACCCTTATTTTAAAATACTTATTTAATAATATATTACTCGAGCTTAGTAATATTTAAAAGTTTATTATAATAATTATTAAATAATTAAATTTATAATAAAAAAAGGAACGTATTTTAATTTACTTCTACTATATTAATATTTAAAATATATAATTATATTAAGAATACTTAAAAGATTTTTTAAATAATTTATATATTAATAAATAAGATATTAACTAATAGTTTTATAAAGCCTTTTATAAATAAAATTCAAATACTTTATATTTTTTTAAATATAAGGAATATATAAGAAATAATTATATAAAATAAAAAATATTAAAAAATAAAATGCCCCGGGTAGCCTAGGTTTTAATTTATAAATATAGCTTATAATTAGGAATATAAAATTATTTTAATAACCCTATTAAGTTATTATAAAAGTTATTTATTTAAAAAATAAGTATATATTTATTTAAAAGGATTTTAATACGAGTATTACGTTTATAGGGATATAAATATTAATAAGGGTATTAATTTTAATTTAAATATTATTAACTTTTATAAATAAAACTTCTAGTACGTCCTTAACTAATCTTTTAACTTAGCTTTAAGTAAAAGAGAGTGTTAATAACGCCTTTTACCCTTAGCCTCGTTTATATAAACTACCTTACCCTTATTATTATTTAAAAGCCCGTTAATTATTAAAGCTTTATATATTAAAGCTTTATATAATATATATATTATATAAGTTAAGGCTTAAAAATAATTAATAATTAATCTAGAACGATAATATATATAAAACTAACTTTTTATAATATAACTACTTTATTCTTTTTTTATTTATTTAAAATATAAAAACTTTTATTTAGTTCGTATATATACCTCGTAAAGGAATATAGCCGATTTCTTATTAACTTAGTAGCGTTATTTAAACTTAAGAAATATTACCCTTTATTTATTTACTAAAAGCGTTTTTAATATAGTTTAAATATTTAAAACCGAATAGTAATAATACTTACTTAAAAATCCTTTAGTACTAGGGTATTAAAGGGATATATTATTAAAAATTAAAATTATAAATAATAATATTAAAAAAGGATATTATATTTATAAAGAACTATTTTATATTTATTAAAAAGGTAAAAAGGCTCTAAATTACTTTTATTTTTATTTATTTTTAAATAACTTTTTTAACCTCATAGCTATTATTTAAAAATAAGAACATTAATAAGTTTAAAATAAAATTATAATATAATATTATTATTTTACTAACTAGTATTTAATATAAAAATAAATTACGTATTTAAAAATAGATCGTTATTATAAATAAGAGAGCTACTATTCTCCTTTAAGTTCGTTTTAAAGCGCTTAGTTTTATATATTATAATAATATAAACGTATTTTTAGCCCAGGTTTTTAAATATTTATTTTAAATAATAATATTAATTAAAATTTATATTCCTAAGCGACGAATACGCGTATAAATATAGTTATAAAACTAAAAATAAGGGTATATATATATAATTAGATATAAATTAAAAAGAAAAAAATTAAAATAATAAGTAGTTATAAAAATTTATTTACTTACTTACTTTAAACTAAAAATTAATTATTTAATTAATAAAAGGCCCCCTCGGTTTTACTTATTATTAATAAAAAGCTTCAAAATTACTTATAATAACGAATATAATTAGTAAATTATTACTTATTTACTTTATATTTATAACTTAATACGTAATATAATTTATTTTATAATTCTTTTATAATTAAATTCTTATATAATATTATTTAGATTTACGTATTTAATAGTTCTTTTATAATAATATAAGTAATTTAATATACTTTTTTAAATAAGGATTTATTTAAAGGGGTATATTATAATAACCTTAACTATTTATAATCTTATTATATATTATATAACCTCGGTTATATAATTACTAAGGTTTATATTCGCTTATATTTTTTATTTTAGGGTAAGTTTTGTGCTTATTTCCTACTTTTAATAGATAACCGTTCTCTATATTTAACGTCGATACCCCTATTGTGACTATACGACACTCTTTAAATAATAATCCACGCATGCCCTTCACACTAAAATAGAATATCATTGCAGAATAAAGTAGGAGAGAGACAGTAGATTGTGACAGGAGTTTGCCTTTGATCATTCCCATTTAAGTTATACCTACAGGCACCAGACAGCTCGCGATCCGCCCGTTCGTATGCGCCAATGCGCCAGTGCGACCTATTCTAACACGAATGGCTTACCTGTGGTAAGATCCTATGTAAAATTCGGAGCTGCGTAATGGAGGAGTAAATCATGATTTCCGTAGACTTGAAAGAGGTAGCGATTATGAGCGTGAATCACATATCACTCAAAGGGGGAAAACGTCGTTTCTTGAGAATATATGTCCTCTGTTGTTCGAGCTATGTGGTAATATCCTAAGAGACATAAAGACAAACAACACTCTCAAGATATCAGCAATGGTAAAGACTATCTGGCCCTTCTCAAGCCGCCCCTATCCCTTTCACTCTCGTCTCCTGAGTTCTAATTCAATCAGACCATCAATAACCTCGACTAAGATCGCGTAAGTCACGTTCTGAATAAACCCCTTCTGCCTCGTCAAGCATGGCCATTGCAGACATAAGAGTGCCCTTCCAAAATCGAAAGCTCACAGGACAGCCGTTCATCGGGATTTAACCGCAGAGGTCCTTGGCCCAGCAGTTTTCATCAATGAATCTCTTGGCAACGGTCTCAGCATCCTCCTTAGGGTTGCAAGTACCCTGGCGAACGAAGAGAGTGCGGGCAGCGTTACCACCACCGCAGCCTGCACCACCCTGAGCAAACGCGTTCCACGGAGACAAGGTCCAAGCACGGTGACCAGCAGGGAAGCCAGCAAGGCTGGGCATGGAGTTGGTGGGTCTCAGGCCGTTGTAGATGCGGCCCTCATACTCGCTGTTATCCTGCAGTCCGCCGTCCGCAACGCCGTTGGTGTAGTGTCTCCAGCGGATGACCTGGTCCCAGCTGAAGCCTCCGAGCGCCGCGTACTCCTGCTCGTTGGGGTACGGGCTGAACTCGCCCAGAGTGCCGGAGACCTGGATGAAGTTGGCTGCGGCCGCGATCTCGTAGACGTAGCCGTTGCCGTTGAACATGTTGGAGAGGAACCCGACGGCGGTGTCCTCGCTGGCGGTGGTGGAGACGTAGCCGTCATTGTCGCGGCTGGCGCCGTTGTCGGCGCCGACTGCGTGGTTGTACATGCTGACGTTGGGGACGATTTGGAGGATCTGGCTGGCTCCTCTAGGGGCGAAAAGACCGGCGGCGCGCATCTCGGTAGGGGTTCTGGTGTCGGCGCGCCAAACACTGAACTGGGCATTGCAGACTGCAGTCCATAGTTGAATGACAAGCACAACAAAAATGTTGTTGAGGGATATCATGTTGACGATAAACCGTGTAAACGGCAAGACAGATTGTTGACGAAGGAGAAAAGAGTGTAAGACAAGGCCTGAAAAGCAGCCTGAGTCAGTGAGAGATGAAGGCGAGGTTGGCAGCTGTGCTGATAAAGAGTGTGATGATTGTGATGATATGAAGTGTACATAGGTTGGTGAGATGTCATCCCATCTTTATACCTACCATGTTGCATACGATTCTCAGTGTTCCTGTCTTCAGAAAGCATCGTCCCTGAGATCTCAGTTGGGGACTTTCAGTCGCCGAACACCATCATGTCGAGAAAGGGCATGACGGGCATCCCGAGACCGAGACTAACTGCCGACACCAGAAATCCGTACAAGTTCTTTTGTCTAAGCCTCTACGGAGTACTCCAGCTTGGCTCTGTCAAGACGAGACGAGTTGTCACCAGACACAAACTATAGCCAAAGCCGCAAAAGATTGCCAACTAGACCAATGTTGGAAAGTTCTATGAAAGTAAATTAAACATACACAATTTATTACACCTCGACTCAGCTATGAATCGTTTCTTTCGATATTGACAGGGCTTCAACACCGTTAGCATTCTTTCTAAATCCCCAAAACTTTATGATAGCTCTGCGGAGACATGTCTCGTATTTAGCTATACGAACAGCCCTTGGCGGTCGCAGTGTTTCTTGGCACCGAGAGACAGGCTCAAAGGGCTGACCGAAAATGGCCATCCCAGTCTCTCACATCAGACGATTTCAAGCATGACCAGGATGAGGTCGACGGCTATTGGACGGTACATATCAGTCACAGCTGATGGAAAGCCTTGCCGCATGGATGACGAAACAAAAGTCGCCAACACGATGTCCAATACTGCGTTGATTAGATGGCGGCCTGAGCTGATAAGCCTGGACCTGGACCAGATCGTGTGTGCCATATAATATACTCCAGACCACCCCTGATATGATGGCCCTAGCGGGTTTCCATCTTTCAGCCCTCGATTCCGATCCCGCAGAGGCCGCACACGTATCCTGGCCTGCCGCAAATCTTCCGACTGCCTTGTAAGGTAGTCCACAATGGGAAGATAATGCCGCCAGAGTTCCTGAGACCCAGGACTGACTACTTTGAGCATAGGCGAAAAGTATATCAAGACTCGTACGTAGATGGGTCTAGTCCGAGATTCCCAAAACCCACATCAACTCTCCTCCATCGTCCCAAGTAGTCAAAATCGAGCAAGACCCTTATTCTTATTACCATCTCAAATCTCGCACATTTCAGTTTCTAGCCGTCACCTTATACCCCACGTTCTCTCTTATTCAGACTTGTCACAAGGCCCGCTATCAACCTCAAGCGTCAAACTCACCCAACCATGAGGAACCCCGCCACGACCACCTGGAACCTCAGCGTCTCTCGTAACGACGCGGAGAAGCTTCTCAAAGGCTTCAAGCCATCGCAAATGGAAGACCGCTGGATGTGCCGCGCAGATGAGCCGGACGCCCGCGGCGACTTCGTGGTGCATTTACACAGGAGCTGGACCGGGGACGAACAGTTTCGCATGAATGTCGTCTTGGCTGCTCCAGTTGGGGGCGACGCAACGGCATCTGCCGATGAACGCCATGCCACGATAACCGAACTCACTTGGGATAAGGGAGAGGGCCAGTTCCTCGCTACCGAGGAAGAGGCCAAGGAATTAGCGACGAAACTTTGCCGGGGCGTGCTTGGTTGTGACTTGTGAGCTGTGCGAATTGGGAAAGTTGAGATGTTGTTCAGTTGATAGTCTCCAGTTGTGGAAATAAATCGTACGGAGATGAACCGAGAGCGAGGTTGTCAAACTTTTTTATTGGGCCAGAGAAGTGCCACAGTGGTGTTATGCATATGTCTTCTAGAACACTTAAGGCGCTGACGGTGTAATCCGCGCAAGTTCAGCCTTACAAAGCGATGCACGTCAGTCGATCTTTGCGCATCACTGCAGCTAGGTTTGCCTCGTATGATGTCGATATGCCTTCCATGTCCAGAAAGGTCTAGCTCGAGGCACTGCGCATCTACTTCATTTGAAAGAGCAACGGCAGGGCCGTGGTAAGGCCGCGGCTTCTGGGTTGTCGATCAGATGTTTAGTTGGCAGTCGGGTCAACTTATCGTCCGCAAATCCGCAAACTTTTCGCCCAGGCGGCTCCCGCAGTTCTTGGTCGGCGATTGTCATATACTGTAAACAAGCGCAAAATCCTGAAAGCGAGTAAAACTCGTCCACGTGCTAGCATTTGCCCAAAGCCTATTCCTGGTTCATGTGTCAGATTTCCTGTCGGTAACGAAGGCGGACTCTCGGCCAACCTTAATTCTGAATCAACGAGGCGAGTTCCACAATTAGTTGCCAGGGACCGGGTTTCAAGAGCCTATATGGTGGTTCATCTTAATACCCCGAAGAGTTGGAACCCTAAAAGTCCCTACGCCCCACACACGTCGTCATTGGCAGGCTTGGTTTCGCTTTCGGTTGATACTATTTATGATCCGTGTAATTGTATAGTGTAGATCACTTGGTCTACCCCAACACCGTATTGAATGTTAATTAAGTCCTGCCGTATGTGTACTAGACTATAGCTCAGGAGTCGGTCGTTATGGTACGATGCGTTTAGCCCGGTCTTTCCGACTTGAAATTGCCAAGCTCGTAAACCTCGTTTACATGCCTTAGCAAAGCTGCGTGTAAGCAGAGAGCAGTAGGAAGAGCTTCCTACAGCATAAACATACATACATGTATCTTCTCATATATTAATATGCCGTCAACTTCGCCCTTTGCTGTCACTCAAGAATAGTCACCACCCATCCATCAGCACTCTCTCTTCGTCACCACACTCACTAGACTCACACTCACTTAAACCTCTTTTCAACCATATACTATCAAAATGCGTGTCGCCACTCTCATCGCCGCTTGCTTCGCTGCTAGGTTTGTCTATGCTTGACCTCATTTCATTTGACTTCAATATGACTAACCACAAACACCTGTTCACAGCGCCGCAGCCCAGACGATCTACTGCTGCGTCAGCAACGACCAAGACCAGGTTGTTCCCATGGACGATCAGACTGAGAGATGTTGCCAGGCTTCTGAGGGTAACATGCAGGGTGTAAGTAGCGGATTATGTACTTTTTGGAGTCAAGATTGGTGCTTACCCTTTGGGACTAGCAACACGAGTGCGCTCTCGAGGTAGGACTCTTCGGCTTTAGCCAATGCTGTCGCCAGCAGAGCACATCCACCTGCAACTTCTAATCTGTCGAGAGCGCAAAGGATGGTGGCGCAAGGTGGGATTGCTGTGGTGTGTCACACAGTTTTCGAGGCTGTTGGGCCTTGCATTTGGGGTATTATACGCGACAGGTTTTGTGATATCTACCTAAAGCGACTCATAGTTCTTAGCAGTTAGCTTGCATCTTGACTAGAATTCAACTCGATCTATTGATAGAATGAAGTAAAATTCTTCAAGCACCCAAGCCATCCACAGTGTGCCTGTCTTATTGATGAATGTAGATTGTTCCGATACCGATTTGTCACTTTGATGTGATATTCCAGTCGTATACTTCCAAGGAACACCGCCACATGCTATCTACTCTTTAACGTTGTTGAATGTGCCTAAGGTACTCTATGTATAATGATTATGCCAGTGTGGGGCAACGACTGGGCTTAGACTGGAGTAAGGAAAGCACTCGCTCAAGAGCTTACCACAAGCTGACTTCCCCTACACATCACAACCAAAAGAAAAAGCCCCCATGTGACCTCTGAACTTCTCAGGGCCAGTCAACTCACTCTGAGATAGAGATTTATAACCTTTCGATGTTGTGACGTTGATTCTAGGTTTAATCAAGAGACCCTCATGTCCAGGGGGGACGATGGTGCTTTGGCCTCTAGCCTAAATTCTCACGGCTCCCACGGCTTCCACGGCCGTGCCAAACTCTGAAGACCCGGCTTCACCAACGCTAAAACAAAGTGATCTCAATCACGAAATAAGCTACAAACTTTGAGTTCGCTGTCGCCTCTCTCCATACTTTGAGAAATTCTCCATGGTCTGTTTGGCGCTAGCTCTTCCAGGGCCAAGTCTGACCGACCTGCCTGAGTGTAAAACGGAGCGTGGTTGCCGCTCCACAAACTTTGCCGTCATATATCACATCTAGTGCTTGAAACCTAATCTTGCATTTCTTGAACAACAGCCTTTTGTCTGCCCACGGCACTTGCTGTTTATCCGAAAATTTAAGCCGTGAAGCCAATACCTGACTTAACAGCGGTTATTCTAAGTATAAGGCAGACAATGAATGTGAGGCCAAATGGCTCTCAATGCAAGGTTCAAGCGCAGGCGATTTGGGAGACATGATATTTCAAAGTCAAGACCTATGTTGTCTTCATATTCGATAGTTTGAAGCACCGTAATACACAAGGGAGTACACACAGCATCTACACGAGATGGAATGTTACGATCTTATCCGACACAGCTCATGTTGTTCAGCCAAACCAAGCAGCAGCGGGAAGTCTCAGGCAAATCAGCTTCGCCAACAGTCTCTTGGCATCAACGAACCAACAGCTGAGTGTTATTACAAGACGCAAATATAAGTACAGCACGAGGTTATTAGAAATCCCACAAACTCCAAGTTCCAGTGGTGTGCCCGATCACTTCTTATTCAACGCTCGGAAGGAATATTCCCGTTCCTGATACCAACCATTATCAGACCCGGCGACATAGTCGTGGGCGATTGCACCAAGAAGCCATCGCCATCCCGAGACCTTTACCAACAATACTCTTTCCAGTACGATGTGAATGGGCGGGGTTCAGTTCAAACATCCATCTCCGAGGCAGAACAAGACACCATCGTAGTCTCCAGAAACGGCTTCGTTAGCACTGTCCTCCGAGCCTGGGAGCAACACCTAAATCTCGGGCTACGACTCGACGATGTTTGGCTAGCCATCCTTGTTCATTTCAGCTTCTTCGTCAACGGGTCTGGTCGGGCCGAAGCGCTGCGCGATCGTTTCGTCGTCCATAGAGGCAAACATGACCTTGTTGTCTTCGTCGATCGCGGAGTCACTGCTCAAAACATTGACGTGTCAACATTGACGGAGAAGCTAGTTGATCTTGTCAGGGAGTGGATGGTTGATAGAAGCATGGCGACTGGTCCATT